TGAATTTCAAGGGATAAGCTATATTCATAATTGAAAAATTGTCTCTTCTGAGACTCAGATATCGTCTCTGCAGAACGAATTTGGATTTACAATTGTTATTAGACAACTTTATCGCACCATTATTATTTTCTCTAACCAGGCAAAATCTCCGAATGAAGACTAGACTACTACTAGAGATGGTGGTTTTTAAGCTCATTTACTTAAATTATAATTAGAAAGAAAATTGCTGACAAAACAAATGTTATTTCATTGCTTTTCATCCCTTAAAAATTGACAAAAAAAACCCGTTTATTTAATTTAAATTAATCTGCTGGCTAACAATAAGCAATTATACCATGAAAGTAAAAATTTGCATAAATTTTTTCTGAACTATTTTAGAGGTCAAGTAATTTATATTTGATTTATTCAAAAGGCTTCTGCTTTCTTGCTCCATCATAGTTTATTCTAAAATCTCAGGGCATTACTGTGCTAGGAAAAATTAAGGACCTTTTTCAACTAGAAACTGGAATTTGATGGCACTCTTTAAGTCTCCATGCTCCTCTAAAGGTAATTTGGATTTTATTCGCTTTTGTGGATAGACTTCAATTTCAAGAATTCGCTTATTTGTACAGAAAAACGAAATCACAGATAAAGATCTCAATCCACATTTTCCACTGGATAAGTATAATCATGGGATAAAGAGGATCAAAGATCCTGCATCCAAATAGCAATCCAGCTAGAAAAAAAAGCTACATAGAATAAGAATATCTCGTGGAGAACTACTGCCCTGCAGCGCTTAAAATTAAGCATACAATCCTCTTTTTATTAGCATATTTCATTTCAGAAATATAGATCTTGAAGTGCGCAAGGTCATCAGAACAAGAAGAAAAAGCATGTAAAATTAAATTGATCAAATTTCAAAAGTAAGAGTTACTCAACCATACATTAAAGGAAAAAAAAGAATAGAAGGATTAACGTATGAGTGGTATCACATGAAGCAAATATTAACTAAATCAACCCTGTTATATTCAATCAGACGTTACCCAAGAAATTAGGTATTTTGAGGAAGAAGGTAACTTTAGCGCTACAAAGTAATCATTCATTTCTAAATAATTTTCCCAATAATCCGTCAAAAATAATGCGAGAATGAATTTGTTAAAATGAAATGATATTACAAAATGAATGGTTTGTAGAAAAAGATGTATTCAAACACTTGAATAAGAGATCTAGAAGGAAGTAAATCTTATGAACTTTATGTTTATGGACTAGATGGAAGAAGCTTTAAATGTGCTCATTGATTATCCTTGATTGGTGTCACAGTAGATCTTGCCGAAGTACGCTGCATAGGTACTGAGGTCGTATTTGTGTATAATTGTTTCATCTTCAGTAATCTGAGAGCCATTTCGAGGATCTGTAAAAAGGAATGACGCTTCTATTGCACGTAAATTTACTGAGCTACCTCTCTTTTCATAGTCAAGTATATGATAGAATTGACACCACAGTTGAATACTAGCACGGCAG